TGCGACCATCTGCCAAGGCTATGCGAGATGCAAGGAATCAATGATTTTGACAATATTCGGCGTTAGATCCAGTGCATCCAATTGTGTGACTTTGCAAGCGATTTCCAGTACAACACCGGGGATAGGTGGTAACAGGTTGTAACTGTTAATCATGGAATTACAAGTCGTATTCTCAATTTTGTCGCTTGTCGCGTATCCTCGATGTTGGCGTTGATGTAGTTGCGTGTTGAACTGCGCATAGTGCGTACTGCTGGCTAGCCGAACAACCGCCTCGTAGTATCAGCAGGGAGGGTTGTCTTTATCCCGTTCCAGGAATTAGTTCGGCGACAGGGTTTCAGGACACGGTAGGTTTCCGCCTGGCAATCGTTCCCCTATAAAAGCTACAGATGTCTGCTTAACAACACGGTGACGAGGCGGATGTGACCCGCCATTAAATAAAGTCACTGCTCTGGCTTACTCGAACAACCTTATGGAATCGGCAGGTGGTTAGCATTCCTTTAGACACCGCCGAATCTATAGACATCATCCAAACTTAACAGCAACATATTTACGAATACAAGCAACACAACTAATTCACACCTACCTTTACAAGTCCACATGTACGCGAATCCCATTATTCTATTACACATTCCTTTTTCACTTGTTGTACCATTACATTGATCGTGCTTTCAGTAGCGTGCCTTGCGCAGCGCTGAATAAAAATTCTTTATTTAGTTATTTACCTATTTATGTAGAAGGATAAACAGACCTGCTTCTTGAACGCCAGAATTTTTGTGTAATAGGAACGAAGATCGGACGCAAATCGCAAACTCAAACCTCTTGTATACAAGAATAATTCTGGTTCCTTATGAGTCCATTCGAGCAAACCACTGCGCTGCTCGTATCGACATAGGACCTTAATGGAAGTGGTTTCCTGCAAAAATGAGAACCAACGCCGTTCGCTACAGTTAACTTCGAGCGCCTGGTAAGGACTGCATTAACTAGTACAAGAGAATAATGAAGTGCGCTGCTCTGTGCTTTCATGCGGAAGGCATTAACAGGCGAATAAAGGTTTTACCTTGATGAAATAAAATATTCCCTTTGGAGGTAGTGCAGAAGCCACCTTTTACTATGCGTCCGAGTTTAGTCCAAAAGTTGACTAATTCCATGCTCCCACGAGCGCCCACAACTTGTGGCAACGGGAGGAACAACGGGCGCTCATCGGGCGTTGGCGCCAGCAGGGGACATTCGCAAATCAACTCAGGTTGGCGTGGTTAAGGATTTTATACAACAAGGTAGGGTTACTAATACTCCCTATAAATAATAAGTTTAGATAACGGGATTTTAGGTGTTGAGCCAATGGGCACAGATTTGCCAAATAGGAAAAGACAGGTCAGGATAAAATTCCGGAACGGAAAACGCTTCCGTTTAAATAGCGCCACGCGTCGTTTGATAGTAAAACAAATGGAGCCCAGAGCACTACGACTGGCTAGAATCTGCTTGCTTATTTAATGTTGAAAAAATAGGAACAAGCCACGTCTTAATGCAAGGGCACGCATCCAACCTCGTTTGAAAGGAAGTCCATGGGGCTGGTAAAGGGTTTCGGTCATGCTGTACAACCCAATGAACCATGAACTTAATGCAGTCGCTTTGTTTTGCGTTACTGCTTGGCTCCGCTCATACTGCCTTTCTGCAGTCACACCTACCGGATTTTATACTTTTGGCTAGTCTGCTACACATGTTTTTCAGCATGCCTCGTCGAAAATGGTATCAATTAACTTCAAAGGTTTCGTCACGTAGTACCATTTACCGTGCAGCAAAGAGCATTGTGAAAAGTCGGTCCTTCAGGGACAAAACGTATATTCTGCAAACAACAGGACCAGGCGAAAACAGAGACAGAGGGCGAGTGAAACATATCGGTATATACAGCTGGTTGGATCCATAATTAACGACCTTTGTTGATGCATGACATTTTTTCTTTGATTCAGTCAAACAAACTCATCCAATGCGTCCACTGTTGGCCAATCAGCGTGCATGCGAGAAACGTGTGAACGTCCAATCGGTTGCCGCCTTTGCTTGCGGCAGCCTAACGGCTTCCTTGCTGGGCTGGCACCGCACGTTCGTTCGAGTGTATACTCCCATCACATCCTCCTTTTTTCATGTTCTTGCTGCTGTACTTTGCTAAATAGTCCATACACTTTACCACTTCGCGTCCTCTTTGTTGGATCTGCCGATGTCGCCTCATTGCCGCACGCAGTATAACGCTCTCTCCCTGATTCATGCTGTCGCCTCGGACATCTCCTCAGCTGTACTCGGTTTCTTCTCAGCTTCTTCCCTCCAACATTTACTTCGTATGACCTTTCACCGACTTTCGCAGCCACGACTCTTTTTCTATACCGCTCCTGTCCATCGGGAATTGGTTCAACCCATACTTCTTCCCCCACTGTCAGCTCAGGTAATTCCCGTGCGCCGTTGTCGTAGTACCGTTTCTGAGTAGCCATTCGCCTTTTCAAATTGTTCTGTACCTTCTCAAATTGTGGCGTGACAGGGCGCAGAAGTGTTGCGGATGCAGGCATCACAGTTCTGGTCCTTCGACTGTATAGGCGCTGCACTGGGCTCAGGCCGATATCCGTTGAAGGAGTGTTGCGACTCTCCAGTAGCATGAGGTATGGGTCCTCCCGAGTATCTCTAGCCTTCGCTAATAGTCGCTTGGCTTGCTTCACTGCCGACTCTGCCTTCCCATTTGATTGACTGTGATAGGGACTGGTTTGCCGGTGTGCGAATTCCCATTTGGTTGCGAAAACCTGGAATGCCATGCTGCTGAACTGGGGACCGTTGTCCGAGACTAGCTCCTCCGGTATCCCGTGCCGTGCGAATTGACAACTGAGTTTGTTGATTACTGCCTCCGTGGTCGTGGTGGTGAGTAAATCGATTTCAAAGTAATCACTATAGTAGTCCACCGTGAGTAAGTAATCCTTTCCGTTGTCCCAGAATAGATCCACTGCTACCTTTTGCCACGGTCGGTCCGGAACATCATGCAGCATCATCGGTTCCTTCGTTTGCCGAATGTCGTGTGAACGGCACGCCTCACAGTTAGACACATGATCCTTGATCTGACCTGTCATTCCTGGCCAGAACATCAGTTCTCTTGCTCGATTAATAGTGTAATTTGCACCCAGGTGAGCGCGATGGACATGCTCCAGCATCACCTTTCGGAGAGAAGAAGGGATTAGGATTCGACTTCCCTTGAACAACAGACCGTCACAGACAGTGAGTTCGTCCCGAAAATTGAAGTAGGGTGTTAATTCTTTCGGGAGCTGCTTCTTTGTTTCTGGCCACCCATTGAGGATAACGTCTCGCAAAGCTGCAAAAGTTTGGTCTTCCTCCGTGAAACGCCTTATGTCTTTCAAACGGTTTTCTGTCACTGCCAGATGCTGCACCATGTTAACTGTCTCGATCTCTTCTAGAGGGTGTTCGGCCACTGGCGGATGTGCTCTCGACAGGGTGTCCGCGATGAACATCTGTGTGCCAGGTGTGTACACAATGTCAATGTCATACTTCTGGAGCCGGATAAGCATACGTCGCAGACGACGAGGAACGTTATTCAGTGGTTTAGTGGCTATCCACACCAGCGGCTTATGATCAGTGTACACGGTTGTCTTTCTTCCAAAAGTATAATCATTGAAACGCTCCATGGCATAGACCACTGCCAGCATCTCTTTCTCGATCTGTGCGTACCGCTTCTCGGTCTCTGTGAGTGCTCGACTGCGGAAATCCAAAGGTCTTCCGTTCTGAAACAGAACAGCACCTATTCCACTCTGGCTACTATCACACTGTACCTCCAATGGTTGTGCTGGATCCTAATATCCGAGTACGGGCGCATTACTGATAAGGTTCTTAATGGTTGCGAAAGCCAAATCCTGTTCCTTCCCCCAGCTCCAATTTACTCCTTTGTGAGTTAACTGCCTAATCGGAGTCATGACATCAGCAAGTCCTGGTAGGAACCGGCTTAAATAGTTCACCATACCGTTTAGGCGATGGACTGCCTTCACATCGTTAGGGGACGGCATCTCTTGTATCGCCTTAATTTTCCCTGGGTCAACTCTGATTCTGTCGGATGTTAACACATGCCCATGGAAAACCACCTCCTCTTTCCGCAGCTCTACTTTCTCGCGTTTTAGCTTGATGTTCTTTTGCACGCAACGCCTCAGGAACCCGTGTAGCTTAGTGTCGTGCTCTTCTTCGGTTGAACCAAAAATCAGAACGTCATCTGCCACACAGGTTACGCCATCCAAATCATCTATTGCTTGCACCAAACGCTTTTAGAAAATTTCGCTAGACACCTTCAGGCCAAACGGTAATCGCAGCCAACGATAACGTCCGAACGGTGTAGCAAATGTGGTGAGGAAACTGGATTCGTCGTCTAGAACAACGTGCCAGAATGCGGAAGAAAGGTCTACTTTCGTGAAAAACTTAGCTTTTGTCAAACGCGGTAAAATATCTTCTAACGTTGGTAGCGCATAATGTTCTCTACGCAGGGCCTCATTCAGTGGCTTCGGGTCTATACATACGCGTAGTTCGCCATTATTCTTCGTAATGATTGCGACCTGGCTAACCCAGTCTGTTGGCTCATCAACCTTTGCAATCACCCCCTGCATAACCAGCTTGTTCAATTCCGCGGAAAATCGGTCACGTAGCGCAAATGGGACTCTCCTAGCAGGTAACGCAATCGGGCGTGCCAAAGGATCAAACGACAGGTGAGCGGTACCCTCGAATTCCCCTAAACCCGGGCTAAACACCGACGGATACAGGTCACTAACATCGGCTTCACTCTGACAAGCGTACACAAAACGATCATGGTTAAAAATGACAAGGCCAAGAGATAAAATCGAATCAATGCCGAGAATCGGCGTGAGATCCTCATCCACGATCACAAACTGCAGACGATGCGAAACACCGTCTCTCGGATTGACCACTTCAATTGTCGCTGAGCCCTTTGGCTTGAGTCTGGAACCTGGCCCATGGGGGGGGGGGGGGGGGGGGGGGGGGGGGGGGGGGGGGGGGGGGGGGGGGGGGGGGGGGGGGGGGGGGGGGGGTGGGGAAAACATATAAATATTGTGGGGGGGTGGGGGGGGGTGGGGGGTTGTGATTATTTTGGGGGTTTTGGGGGGGGGGTGTTTTTGTTTTTTTTGGGGGGGGGGGGGGGGGTGGGGGTGGAGGGGGGGGTTAGGGGGGGGGGTGGGATGGGAAAAAATGGGGGGGGGAATGGGGTTGGGATAGAAGGAGGAATGAGTTGAGAATTGTGGGTGAGAGTCGATGGAGAAGGAGTTAGGTTAAATATTAAGAAATATGATTTTAGGATGTTATAATAGGAAGATAAGGGAAGGGGTGTAGTAATTATGGGGAGGGAGGAGGGGGGGTGGGGGGAAGTTAGTTGGCTAGGTAATGAGGGATAGGTATGATAGATTGTAGGAGGGAATATGGGGGGGGGGGGGTATATTTGGAAAAATAGAAGATAGTGAAGGAAAGATTGGGGAGGGGATATTGGGATGATAAGAAAGGGAGGGAAAGAATTGGGTGAGAAGGGTCGGAATATTAGAGGTGATAAAGTGGGGATGAGGAGGTTAGTGAGGGAGTGGGTAGCACTGTTACAGATGTCAATACACTGCTGCAGAGATAGGTTGCGCTTTTGTAATAGTCGCTTCGTCAAACCTTCGTCATTGATCCCAAGAACAATGCGGTCCCGTATGAGACTGTCCGCCATGCATTTACAGAAACTTCAGGATCGGGCCAAAATCTTTAGCTCAGTGACGTACGTGCCAACGGATTCACCTGGCCGCCTGTTCCGCGAAAAGAAGAGGTAGCGTTGAAATGTCTCGTTTGTCTGGCCTTCGCAGTATTCACTGAACTTCTCAAGAACTTTCTCCAGATTGTTGGCGTCTTCGCTTTTGTCGTAACACAATGCCTCTAGCACGCGGCGCGCATCATCTCCTGCTGCGTGTCGAAATATGGCCAAACGGTACGCCATCGGTTGTTTGTCCAGACGCGATAAAGTGCAGAAATCCATCCATTTGCTCTTCCACAAACGCCAGTTGCTTGCCAAACTGCGTTCATCCATGTTCAGCGGGGCAGGCATTTGAATAGCCGGTGCAGCTCCAATCATCGTCTGGGTGGTACTAATGTTCTTCTCCTTCTCTGACACCATGTGAAAAGTTGGTCCTTCAGGGACAAAACGTATATTCTGCAAACAACAGGACCAGGCGAAAACAGAGACAGAGGGCGAGTGAAACATATTGGTATATACAGCTGTTTGGATCCATAATTAACGACCTTTGTTGATGCATGACATTTTTCCTTTGATTCAGTCAAACAAACTCATCCAATGCGTCTACTGTTGGCCAATCAGCGTGCACGCGAGAAACGTGTAAACGTCCAATCGGTTGCCGCCTTTGCTTGCGGCAGCCTAACGGCTTCCTTGCTGGGCTGGCACTGCACGTTCGTTCGAGTGTATACTCCCATCACAAGCATGACATCTGGTTTCTTCTACGATGGAGCGCTTGTGTTGTCTGCTGCTAAGCGACAAATAGTAAGGGGTTTGGTAACATATATTAATTATGGTTACGCAAGCAGTACATTCAGCTGGCAACGTTGCCAAATATTATGAATTGGACAGTGACCCATACCAAGGGGCCTATAACCTAAAGAAGCGCATCACAAAATCTCAGGTACCTTCAAGCTTTGTCCACCAACTGCCGGGACTCTTGCAACCGAGCATGAAATTCCTGCCAAAGGATTACCAGTCATGGTATGTTGACATACAGAGATCCATACATACTATGAGGACAAGGTTCGTCTAGGCATAGGCGATTCCGTCTCCTATGCCGAAATTACTTGTTAAATGAAATAGTGTTTGCATTCTGCACGGCATAAGTGACGGTCCGTTGCGTAAATTAAAGGCTGCATTGCCATCGTGGTAAGCTTACTGCTTTATTATTAGCACCTTTGGCCTCCTACGTTGACAATCTCCGAAGCGGATCAAACACGGTGACCATACGGCTCTTGGCTAGCAACCAGGTTTTGTACTATACACCTTCATGTACAAAAGACACTCCTATACGCCGGTTGTATTTCTCTTCTTGTAATCTCAGCTGCATGGCACGCGCCACCTAGCTTCCTGAGCAGCAGCATTAAGCGCTGCCTAAGTGCGTTTCTACGTCCAGCAATCATGGCAACACTTACTGCGTGTACAGGTTGGAACCGGCATGAGATTCGTTAGGTCCTAAGTGGGTGCTAGTGTGATGTCCGTATTCCAATCTCGATGGTACGCAGTCAAGGTTTTTGGAGCTGCTGCATTGCAACGCATGGATGTGCATTTCAAGTAGCAGCTAGGAATATTCGTATTGCTCCGCCGTAAACGAGACAAATTCCGTTTACAGCTGGTTCATCGTGTACGATCCGGTCTAATTTAGCCTAATGCTTTCTTAAGAACGTTTCGGAGACTTAACTGGACAGGATCTGGACAAGTGCCACCAGGTTGCTGATAAAATTTCATTCAATAGCCCAGCAAGTTGTCTGACGTAGCTGGTTCAAACTGCTCGGTTGGTCTGAGCCCGCTGAGGCCTTGCGACACTTGGGGCGGCACATTTATTCGTGCTGCTAGGCTGAGGCACATGAAGCAGAGCGGGGAATGCGCTGCTAGCTACCAATGAGGTTTTGATATTAATTAAGGTACATAAGGTGCATGAATAATAAGTAAAGACGTAGGAAGCTTCGATGCATGTGAAGGTCTTTATATTGTACAAAGTATTGTTATGTGCTATGCGCTGAGGTAGAAATCAGTGGACATAATGATAAAAATGACTTATTGCTGTTAAGAAGTTTCCCGGTGCTGGCAACAGTAGCTTTGGTGTATGAATCTAGCTCCTTCCGTCGTATATCTAAGGGCACGAATCCTAAGCTCTCAGCGTCCTTCGAGGGTATAAAACTGCCAGATTGAAATGGTGGTGTCCATTTTTGTCGGAAGTGGTTACCGCCGTAGCCTAAATTAGGGAAACTGGGCCTTTGGTTCCCGAAGGCTACCGTACCAATATATTTATATCAGGTGCGTGCATAGTAAAGGCTCGAGTGAGCGTGGAAAGACGTGCGTTGTGCCTTTGTATAACGCGTTTTTAACGGTTACCTGTGTTACAAGTGCATGGCTCAATTCGTAGTACTGTTGAAGGGAGGGTGGTACACGTTCGCCTTAATTTGATACTGAAGCGATCGGAAAAACCCTTGCGGCTTCCTTCTGGCGCGGACCGTTTTGCCTGGAAACGGTGAGGCGCTACGAGGTCTGGATTGACCTAACATGAAACAACCAAAGCACACCCTGGCCAACTAAATACTGCCTAGGTTCCCTGCACCATCACTTTCTGCTGTGTAGGTAACGGGAAGTTAGGAGGATGTAGAAAAACTGGAAGAGAACCAGGAAAGAGAGTCGTTTAAATCAAGGATAACACTAAGGCGTGAGGAGAATGACAGAATATGAACACAAATTTGGAAGCCAAATGTGGTCAGGAGAACGGAAAGTTTTCATGTGGTTACCCAAGGGTGTCTAACTGACGCTGGAAAAACTAAACCGTGAGTTCACCGACTACGCTACCTGGAAACGAGTTCCAACCCTCGATACCTCTAAGCGTTAACAGCTTTTCCAGCCCGAATCGGTCGGAAAGCTGCTTGTGTAACTTCATAGGATGACTGCGCATACCAGGCAACCTAGTAGCGCTACGTAGCCAGGTCACCTCCGGTCCAACCTTCCCTGCTAAAATACGGTAATGATGGATTAGGTCTCTTCGAAACCGTTGATAGTGCACTGCATTCATACCCAACCTAAGTAAACGCTAGTGGTACGGTTTCCCCTGTAAACTTTCGACCACTTAGGTACCTATTCGCAAACCATCTGGTGCTCCATTTTGTCCCGAACAAGGCGGGCAGGTGCGCCAGGTATCAATATTACAGATGGGGCCGAAAGAACACTGCAAACAGCTGCACGAATATGTCGGCAATTCCAACCCTGAAATAACGGCGTATTAACCACAGCCTTCGTAAACCCATACTTGCGATATTCCTCCACTTGTCAACAGGATGCAAAAGCGAAGACGGACGACGCCCAAGTCTACCTGGTTGGAGACAAGATGGAGTTCGACCCCGCCGAGCGTGCTCCACGCAGGCGTGAACGTTTTCCCATACGAAGGAAGAAATGCATCTGATTAGTGGGCAGTAGCCACAAAGTAGACCGGCCGCAGAGTCTGTTAAGTTCATACTGAATTGCCTCAGTGAGATATGGACCTTTAAAACGGTCCTTATCTTAGTGGCATCAGCAAAAATAGGGAGGCTAAACCAAGTACCCCAGGGAGATCGTTTATGTAGATGGAAAACGGCATCGGTCAGAGGACCGAGCCCTGTGGGAGTCTGCTAAGGAGAGATTGCCTAAAGGATAAGCTGCGACCCGCAGGTACACACTGCCCTCTTTCCTGAAAGAATACGGATACTTATTGAAGGGCACGGTCAGGTACGGCGTAGGAGCTCAGCGATTTTGACAACCTTACTTGGGGTACCTTATCAAACGCTTTCGAGAAGTGGACGGAAACCACCTTCACTACTCGGCTATCGTCCACTGTCACGGCCAATGCTTCACGAGCAACCAACGAACACGTCAGACCCCTTCCGGACTTTGTGTTGTGTACTACTCAAATTAAACCTTTTCAGGTGACCTTCCAACGAATCTCTCTCTAGCTTTTCAAGCATTTTGACCACGAGGCTGGTCCGACTGACCTATAATTGGCTGAAAGGCCCGTGTAGCTGCCTTTGCAGGTAGTATTGTTGACAAATTCCTTCCGTTCCCAAGGTAAGGTACAGCTTTCAAATGTGTTCTTAAACACCGCCGTCAACAATCCCCTTAATTTCATGGCCAACTCGAGCAGAAGCATCAGGTAAATTGGATTAGGTCCAGCTGCTTCAGAAAGTTTCAGTTCTTGCCGCAGCCTAAGGACTTGCATTTCTACCACAGTAACTTCAGTTACGAGGTTGGATACTTTGTCTGCGGCGTTCGCACAATTTGTATGTGGGAACGTCAGCCGTATCGCGAAAATCGGCGGTTAACAAGTGAACGGGAAATCATCCTACATAGGTTGAAAAAGACTTCTCGTCCGATACAGGAGATACGTATGTTAGCCTGCGTTTAATATGACATTCGTTGCTTAAGGTGTGATTAGTAGTACATACGGCGGCGTCATTTTCATGTTTGTGTTAAGGTGCC